TTAATATATAAATTTATTAAAATATTTAATAAATTTATAGATTAAATTATGTTATTTTAATAAATTTATAGATTAAATTATGTTTTTAATGTGTAATTTGGTTTATAAAATTATTTTTATTATTCTTAAACTAGAATATTATGTAATCTTATTACAACTGTAATGAATCTTTTTAATATCAAATTTTTTTATACGATAATTTTTATTTTTAGAGTGTAATATAGTCCAACAACAAAACATGCACTTTGTTTTTAAATACAACCGTATATTTGTTTGGGCAGTATACATATTCACCTCAACCCTTTTTTTGATAAAATACATTATTTTAATCATTTTTATTTGTTTTAATCCTTAAATTTATGTAAATAATTTAATAATTTCATATTAAAAATAAAAAATTAATTTTTTATTAAAATAAAAATATTTAATAAAAAATACATATAAAATAATTTTTTAATTACCATTTATTAATATATAAATTTATTTAGCTAAATTTGATACATAAATCAAATTAGGGCAACTAATACAAATAGGGAAAGCACTCATAATTTGTCTTGTGAGTGTTTGATATAAATATTTAAAATTAATAACTTATTTAGTTTGTACGAAGGAAAGGAGAAAGGGAGAAATTTTCCCTCAATTCCTTTTCATTTACCTCCTGTGTTTAGCATTCTCTTGGCTCGTGTTTCTTTCATTTTTTTTAAAAACTAAATAAAAAATAATAATTAATGATTTTTTTATCTAATTCAAGGTCGATAATTATTTTAGAGTATTTCTATTATGCACAATTTAAACACTTTTATTATTATATAAGATGAAATCACTATTTTTTTTTAAAAAAATATCAGGAAAGAAAGAAAGAAAAAAAAAATCAGTCTGCTAGCACCACGTACCTCACATGGAGTGCTAAAATCCAAGCAAAGAAAAAAAAAACAGTAAAAGGAAAAAACAAATAGCCACAACAACCAATTCCCTTTAATTTGTGGTAGTTAATAATTTCTTTTTTCTGTTATATATATATATATATTGTGTACAGAAATCTGCAATTGGTCCCCTCAATCACGGAACAATAACTACGTATAATTATATTATACAATATCTTATTTTATAAAATAATTTAGACGATCAAATAGTATTATGATATTATATTATATATAAAAAGATTAAGAAGCAAAACTTAGAGAAGTCACTCCTCTATTATTGTACCATCACTTTCTTCCTCATACCTGAAGCTCTTACTCCTCCCTCCCCAAAGTATCATCCATGGCAGCATCTCTCTCCCAAATCAAGTGCAGCCCCATGATTCATGTTTTTTTGGGGCCAAATCCCAGCCGTCCATCGTCCTGGTCGACGTTGTCTTCTTGGAGACCGGTGAAGGTCACCATGTCATGCAATCAGAAGTCTTATTGGGCTTCCATAAATGAAGACATTGAAGCTCACCTCAAGCAGGTTATTCCGGTGAAAGAA